AACATTTTTACTCCGTCCTTGTGTTTTCAATAATGATTATGAAGAAGTATTATAGTGGGACTATAAACTGATTACTTGCTAAGAAGCTAATCTTCCCTCTGATAGGGACGACTGCAGTTCCTATTAAATCAATGGATGGTGATGCTTATATATCTAAGGGCAAAACTGAATCCACGCAGTATTATTGGTGGGCCAGTTTCAGGGGAAATAGATTAATTCAGTCTCTGCATGCTTCCTATAGATGTAATAATAACCTTTCCACTTATTCCCCCCCTCTGCCCCCCGCAAAAGAAAATTGTGAGGAGCCTGATAGTAGAATACCAAACAACCCTGTTTTCAAAAAGGAAATGGTGTCTTTTCTTTTTTCTCATTGAAAGCCCTGTAAAACAGTGCTGTGTGATACACAGACAGTGGCAGAATGCAGTTCTTAAGCTTTTTTAAAATTTTCCTCTACTTGCCTGTCTCTTTTAGAAAAGTTACATTAAAGACAAATCATGACTTTGTTATCCAACCAGTCCCTAGTGGAATATACTTTCTAGTACATTAACAGCTTACAGTTTTCCACAGGCTTTGGTCATATGAAGCTGAGACATTAAAAAGTTATCACAGCAAACTTCACTTCCATCTCAGAAACAGTTAAGGGTGGGGGTGCGGGGGGGGAAGAGAAAGGGAAACACTTGATGTTTGGTGGTGTGACACAGTTGATGAGAGAGCCTGCCAGCTGGGATGGAAATAGCCAAGCTGTACTATTTTGCAGCCTTCCTGTTCCTCTCTTAAAAGACCAATAGAAAAGCCCATTCAGCCTAAACTATGAAGAAAGAAAAACAGATCCCAATGGTTTTGTTGGTTCATTTGAAAAATAGCTAATCCAAGTGTTTACATGCAGACGTTTGCTGAAGCCAATCCAAAAACACACAGAGATTAAGGTCACCACTATGACTTGGTTTGAACAGAGAGCCATTTTCATACATTTAGTATCTCTGCTTTTACACAGTATCTGAAAAACAGTTCTCTTCACAACATTTAGGGGAGTATTCCTAATCCCATTTTACTGGTTAGAGTTTGAGACAGATATTAAAGTTAAAAGTACCTTTACGCGCAATAGTATTTAGCTTAAAAAATGGCAACTCAGGTAACCAACTGAGCTGTGAAATGACCTCAGATTCCCTAGGACCCAGATGATTGCTCTTAGCATAATATCGTCTTTCTACATCAAACAGCAATTGAGTGCTTTCAATACCTACAGAGGTGACTGAGCTCACAGAAAGTCAGTGGTACTTGTTCCCTTTCAAAAGTGGGCCTCTTATTATTTATCATGGCTAAGATATGAAGGAGCCATTTACCTGGGTCTTTTGATATTAGATGGAGATGATGGAATATCAGCATAACTGTCAGTGTCCATAATACAGTTTATGTAGCCTTGCATATACACTGTGGTTTTCAATTATGCTGTTAATGTTTAGTTTTCATCAGCCCTGGTAATGTATATAAAGCTTTCCATAACACTGGAAATGTGCTAACTTCAAGTTATTTTTACAAATAACTAAATGAAAATGCTCTAAAAATAAAGTAATGGCAGCTTCTCTAACTGCATCGCTAGTATCTTTAATTAAATTCCCAGTATCTTATCTAGTGTTTCTGGACTGATTTATCTGAGCCTTTTCTCTTCCCTTTTGAATGCAGACTCTCATGAAGGTCCATCTCCCAATACTATTTTGACAAAATGCTGTTGTAACTTTAATTTTGTCTCCAACTGAATGAGTGGCCAACACAAAAGCAATTGTGTATTGCAACCTCTGCTCAGTGGAATTCTAAAGGTAGTAATTTAACAGAAGGTAGGGTAGATATGCTCCTTTAGGCTAGGGACAGACATTACGCATAAAACAGTTTAAGTGATCAGAAACTGGTTTAAACCTATAACAGAACAGATGTTCAATGCACATAAACCAGTTTGAGAATGGCTGAAACCGGTTTGACATACACCTAGTTGAATGTAGTATCAGCTTTAACTGATTTGGGTCAAACCAGTTTATGCAATGTCTGTCCCAGACCCCTTGCTGGTTTAAGCTAAACCAGACATCCCAGCATCCTGGCATGGTCTCTAGGCTGGGCAGGGCTCTCTGCTCCACAGAAGGGATGGCCCCTCCCCTCTGCTCCCTGGCCAGAGCTCCAGAGACTGCAGGCTGCTCCCCTCCTTCCCCTCACCACTAAGCAGGAATTCCCCCTTCCCCTCTACCTTGCTGAGGAGGTGTCTGTGGATCAGGTAACAGACCACATGCTGGCTATGGTCCCTGCTGAAGCAACAGGCAGAATCAACAAGTAGCTGGTAATGTCCCTCTGTTGTTTTCTTAATGTGGTGATAAACGCTGTTATCTAACCAGGCTAATCAGAGCTCTTGCCAGAGCCTGGCCATGCCCCCCACAGGCCCATGCTGTGGAAGGAAGGGAGGGCTGCTCTAGTACCTCCCAGCTTCTAGCCTGAGCCACTGTAGGCATGTGCCTGCATGTCTGGGATATCTGTCCAGTTACAAAACTGGTTTAGCCTAGCCAGGTTAAACTGACCTGCAAATATTGAATCAATTCAGGCTCAGGTTTTTTGAGTGTCTGTCCCTAGCCTTATAGACTAGCTAAATGAGATTTAGAGAAAGAGAGCATGCGCACAAGTTTTCATGAACCCAAGTTCACTTCATCAGATGCTATAGTTTAACAGATCAGTAGTTTAACAACCACTGTTGTCTGTTCTTTGCTCTTTCAAAGAATCTCTGCTAATCTCCATAAGTAATAAAGTGAATGGGCATCCTAGAACCCATGCATGTTCACTCTTTCAAGTTTGTGCTGAAAACTCGCTAGCACTGTAATTTTTAGCACCTTGTAATTTATGATAAAGATAATTTAGAGGTTATCACGTGCTTTCCTGAGTCAAAAAAGTATGTGTGAGAAAATGTCATTGGTAATGTTTATCCAGAATGTAAAACACGATATCAGAATAAGTCTTATATTTTTCTTGGGTTCTAGCCAAAACAGAACGGTTAACAAAAGAAAAGTCTATAGGGTTGGGAGGGAGAGGTTTATTTTTTAATTAAAAGCCCTTTTGCTTTCCTTTGCTAAATACTATTGTATGAAAAAGTAGTTTTAAGCATATTTATACATCATGTGAGCTACTGGAAACCCTCAGACCACCCGCTTCCCAAGACACACACATGCTGTATATTTCAGGGCCCTCGTTTGAAGAATTCCATGAGTTCTGGTATTCATAGATGCTGGTTTTCTTTGTGATTGAGGTGGAAGAGGTGAACTGGCATTATGAGAATTAAGAAATGCACAAAAAGCCACTTTCTCTGAAGCTATACATTTCAAAGAAAAAACAAAGTACCTTATTCCTGAGCGACTGCACAAGGAGCAAATTTTCCTCCTCAGACACTTTATGAGTTATGCATAATTATCCCAGTTTTACAGATAGGAAAATGAGGCAGAGAAGTTGAGAAGCTCCATGATTGGGAGCGTCAGGAAGCACATGGCTGAACTAAGCCACAATCCCTGCCACGTGAGCTGGGCTGGGTGAGTGGGGTCAGAGCCCGGGAGGCTTGTCCGGGAGGCAGGGGGCAGGGGTACAGGAAAGAGGGCAGGTAGGCAAGGCCGGGGGTGGGGCAGGGTGGGGGCAGTAGATCCTGGAGTGCCCCTTACTTATAAAAGTGATCTTCACCATAAAAAGGCTGGAGACCACTGCTGTACACAATGCCCAAAATATGGCACAGGACCTGGGTCCAGCATGTGAAAACAATATTTGTATTTTACATTTGTTATTCGCATTGTTGACTTCATGTACACTTGGAATGAAATGTTATTATTCCCATTGAAAAGAATTTCTTTTAGTCTCAAAAGTGGCTCTTTCATAGCATGTACTTTGCATCCATTCTTATATTGGCTTTATAAAGCTTACCACTGTTAAAAAGAAAAAAATAACATCAAGGGATGTTGCCCAGGGAAGATGCACAGAAATTAGCAAGATATATTTATTCCTTCCAATGCTGAGAACTTCACAGTGTCCTGGTAGATGGAATCTTTGCTTAGTCCTTAGATCTACAACCTCAGACCTTAGATCTACAACTTTGCTCAGTAAGTACCTCCGCCCCACCAACTTTGTATGCTTAGGCACTTTGTAGGACACAGTCTCATACAATCAGGCTTTTCCCTTGGAGCATCCAATATTTTGGGCTCTAAATCAATGAGGACAGTCCTGTTTTTCTTGCACTCTTGCTTTTTCTCAAGTCTGTAGGCAAAACAATTCAGTAAGTATTGCAGTGTGACTCTGAGCGTTAACACAGGAAGAGCCTGATCTTGAAAGGTTCTGACAACCTGTTGCTTCTGTTGGCTCCCATTGATGCTCAGCACCTCCCAACATCGTGTTTAGAGTGTTGATGAAGCAAGTTGTATGCTGTGGTTTTCTTATGTACTGTCCTGGTTTGTCAATTCTATCGCTCTTTAAGGAAGTCATTTTTTTTGGTTACTGCCTTTGACCTCCAGTTCGCAAAAGCTCCATCTTAACATGGCCTCAATTCATAGGTCTATTATTATTCACCAAAGCACTTAAGTATGTGCTTGAGTCCATTGGTTTCAAGGGAATCTTTGGCCTGCTTAAAGTTTATGCAGGTCATTAAGTGCTGTACTGAAGTCCATCCTTCAACCCATAGTTAAATATTTTGTTGAGCTGAGGCTTTCTGTAATAGTAAACGTCTGAAAAAATATTTGGCAGGGCTATTTACTAAATAATTGATTTATTTTATACCTGCTTCTGATCCAGTGTTCAGGGGAGTTTCTGCTGATTTACTTCAGTGTAAGTAAAAGAAGACACAGGCTTCTAGGAATTTATCTGTGCGCATAAGTAAAGATCAGCAACAGGAGGCAGGGTAGCTATCTGCAGGAATTCTTACAGAAAACAGATGCACTTTAACACAGAAATATTGATTCTGCAGACATGACATTTCTATTCCATTAATACAGCTATCAGGAGGAGAAAAGTACACAACAACAAAATAGCCTAAAAACGAAAATGGAGAAGTTCATTATAATCAGTCCCCAAAACAGGAGGAAAAAAACCAAAATGGACATGCAAAGGGCTACTTCAAATGGGCAACAACCACAGTTCAGGAAACAAAGATGGAATGGTTTCAGGTAGGATCTCCCTGTCTGGCAGGACTTTGAAGGCCTGACATTGCAAAGTTTTTAAGGGCCCTTGATGATACTTGTTGATTCCAGTTGGATTGAAAGACTCCTGGAAGTTGGCACCACCAGTCAGGATTTGGCCCTCGCAGTCTGAACCAACATAGAACCACTGAGATCTGTGAGATGCACTGACAGATCGTACACATAACAGTGCTGAACAGTTTTTTTTTCAGTTTGCTGAACCAAGTAGGTTAAATATTGAAAGGTCTCCCAGAAGGAAGTGTTTTTTTAAGGAGGCATCTGAATGAGAAGACAGGGTACCATGAGGGGTAAAAGAATAGGGGGAATATTGCGAGCAGAGGCGAGGCATGAAAGACAATGCAAAGAGGCCAGAGAAGAGTGCTTCTGGCTAGCATTACTACATGTCCTGTTTTTACCTGGACAGTCCCATTTTAAACAGCTGTCACAGTTATCCAATCAGTTTGGCCAAATTATTTCTTTTGAATTTAAAACAGCACTGTCCTAGTAAAAATGGGACTTCTTCATCCTCCTCCCCACTCCACTATTCATCGTTCCACACCCCAACCTGCCTGGTCTCCAATGTGTTCACTATACGTTATTTATATACCAAAGCTTGGAGATGGCTGAACATGCAGATATTCTGGAGGGAGGGAGGAGGCAGCGGAGAGTCACATTTTGACACTTAGAGAAATGTGGTCACCCTACCCCTAACACATAATGCAAAGAGACTGGGGAAAAGCATAAGAAGGGGAAAAGCACAGGAGGGAGTAAGAAAGAACACGGTAGATATGGGCAAGAGCTGAATTGTACAGCTCTTTGGTCAGAAATAAAAAGCCTAACATTTGCAGCAGGCAAGGAGAAGCCAATGAAAAGGTTTGAAGAAGGAAATGATATCATCACAAAATTATTATAATTTCTAGTCTAGTCACAGGGACAAGACCTAACTGGGATGTTCCAGGCTGTAGTGTTACAGCTCCACATGAGGCGTGAGAAGGGAAAATAAACAAATGCTGAGGGTGAAAGGAGAAATTAGAGAAATATTTGGAAGTTGAAAGGATTATAAGCCATTGTATACTTTTACTAAATGTTTTTTGTTTATTAGGCCCACAATATATATAATCAGGGACATCTCCAGAAAAAATACATTCCTTCCTCCCACCTCAGAATAAAAAGTAGATGTTTAACAGGACTTTGTCTTGTTTAATTTTTAATTACAATTCAGATTTACTTATAGTGTGTAGATAGTACATGCGCTGGTCAATTTTAAAGCGACATGGAGATGCAAAAGGCTTTCTTATTTGCACGTTGTCCTTTGATCTGTGCTACTCAAATGTGGACTTTGCAGAAACAACATGCTGCTTCATTGTGACAAACTTTATTAAGATTAATCTTGTGATCAACAGCACACTGATCACAAATCAGGAACTACACAAATCCCACAGTGCAAAGCTGCTTTTAATAAGAGCCTTGGAGATATCTGGACACAAGTCTCTAGAGCATCAAGGTTTTTGTTCTTTGGGGTATGTGCTGTGCATCTTAAATGGAGCAAAAGATGTTGAAATGAGAACAGATTTTAGGCAACAAGGAAAATAACTTTTTATTCTCTTTCAGTAGAGATGAAATGGCTGCCTCTAAGAGTGACAATGAGGATGACATTGCTGCACGACTCCAACCGACTTTGGTTGAACTGGATGACAATTTAGGGGGTATGAAACAATATTATCTCTGAACTGCAAAAGGAATAGCAAAGGGACACAAGGCCAGATTTTACCCTCAAATGTATGTGCAATGTTCTAACTGAGTTTATGGGAGGTACATACAGATCCAAGGTCAGAAACTGGCCTGTGCTCTATAAATTGATGCTATGTTTTGTTTTCCTGGTAGGGCAAACACATATATTAGGCTACAGCTACATATTTTTGCAAATACTTTTATAGATATCATCCCTGTATCTGAGCACCTGTTACTAGAAAGGAATCAGCAATATTTTATGGGCCAGTTTTTTTCTGGAATAATTTTACTGGCTTCAGCGAAGTTATATAAGTAGTGAATTTGACCCTAAACCTGACCAATATGCCATAACTGTAGCTTTGAAGCAGAATCCATCATTCTGCATCACATAAGCTGATATTTTGTAGTTCATAAGAATAGAGTGAGTGATGGCAGACTTTCTTATATAAAAGTATTTCAATTGAATCCATTGCTTGGTTTGAAGTTAAACATCTAACATCCTGACAGGTAAAGTTAAAAGAGAGAAAATGTCATCACATGAGCACCAGTCTTCTATAGTAAAGCAAAATACTGCACATTTTTATAAAACAAAAACCTTTTTATTACCACTCATAATTTTGCATTACCTTAGAATTTAGTGAACCTATCTCATTTCTGAAAGTTTTGTACTCCTGTGATTCCATTAGCTGCTGTGGAATAACTCTTGATATACATTAAAGTAATTGAAAAAAGAATTTCATCCAACAGCTTCTTGCACAATGCAGCTGAATGATTCCTGAATGATGAAGGCAGCCTGGTAAAAGAAGAAATACAAGTTCTGTTTCTTTGCTTGCTAGCTTGAGGAAATCCTTCAGATGTGTTGTAATTACTAACTGGGTTTGGGAATCATAATTTGGAGTTGTTTGCTGGTTCTCAGAAATGCTTCTCCTTTGCAGTAATATGGTGATGGAGCGAAATTAGTCAAAGATAAAGTATGAACAGAAGTCTAAATGCTGCCCTCAACTGCACGTGTCTATTTCCCACTAACTGCAATGAATGAATACACATATTTGATGATCATAATCAGCAACCAAACAGTAAAATGTATCCAGAAAGCTCTCTCTCACACAACAGGAGCTTGTAAGCTTATAAGCTTACTAAGATTCTTAGAAACATGTAAGTTGTAATTAATATAACCAAAACACCTGCTTTTTCTTAAGAGAATATAAGCCATCTCTGAGTAATTGAAAGTGATGTTGCATGTTCTTCTTGGTAACCATCGATCCTCTGGATCATGGTGTATGTGCAAGAGGTCTATGCGACCATCACACCAAGACCTTCAGCATGTATGCCTAGGCAAGAGTATGCTGGAGTGGAGGCTGTCCTAGGCCTACCATGCCCCCTTTAGAGTCTAAAGTTTAGACCATCAAGACAGAGTCCAAAGGCCAAACAGAGTCCAGATGTTCAGTGTGTCAATGGTTGTAGCTTCTGCCAGACAACAGATTAGAGGTGCTATGACTGCCTTACACCTCAGCAAGGATACATTTCCATCAGGGTGATGTCCCTTAGCCTTTCTCCATCCAAGATGTACCCACATGACACTGGGGTTTTGGGGCACCGTATAGTTGCCTTACTCTGGGGGTTGCAACATTGTGGTATTTTATAGGAGCTACCCCACCACAAGTAGCCCCACCACGTTGCCACCAGGCCCTCCAGTTCCATGCAGTTTATAGTCATACCCAAAAACTAAATATATAGTACCAATAAATGAATATTTTTGTTTATATATTTTGCAGCACTGGAAGCTGGACATTATGACACAGATAGTGATTCCATATTCAATCACGTAAATGAGGTGTTAAGCCCACGTACAAGCAATGTCAACACCGCTCAAGTGCTTGCCTGTTCTGTTCCAGTAACAGTCATAGATGAGGTTCCAAGAGTTAATGACTTCACAGCACCTCGAAACAAAGAAAATGCTCTACTCCCTAATGAAGATGGCATAGAAGATTTCTCAGTTGACTCAGTTAATGTAGGAAACTTTACTAATAAAAATAACAATGCAGGTTCTTTTGATAAGGACCATGTGGACAGCAGATCTCTACATATTTCAAAAGATTTAATACATCAGAAGTCATCTGAAATTGATTTCAAATCTCTGCCTATAGGACAAAGGAGAGATATGTTTGAGTCTCATGTTGTCTCACTTGACAAAAGAAATGAGAAATATCTGGGGCTAGAAAGGATCTATAAAAATGATGTTAGGTCCAAGGAATGTAGACCTAAGTTGATTTCTTCTGACCTCAAGCCTGCAACTGAAAGCAGTGCAGAGAAAGAGAGACCCAATGTGTTTAATGAAAAAAATAATCTAGAAAGATCTCAAAACAAAATAAAAACAGAATTGGAATTCAGGCAAACTTCAGCAAAAAACGCGGAAGAGAAAGAAGATACTCAGTCAGCACCCATGTGGTGTCAGCGTGCTCATAGTACGTATACAGTAACAAGCTATGAACCCAGAGTAGGTCTGACAACCTTTAAAATTGTCCCTCCCAAACCTGAAATAAAACATTTTGATAAAGGTACATCTCTCTCCAGTGGTGCCATTAAGATAGATGAGTTAGGCAATCTTGTAAGTCCAAATGCTGGTGATGGTAAGAACATACCAGATGCTTCTACCAGTGAAATGGAGGAACCTTTCATTGGGAGAATAAGAGCATTCTGGAGGTCACACTCTATGGAAAAGCAACATGATGAGTGCATAGAACATACGTCTAAAAAGACAGTAGCTACCACAAACTCTAAACCTTTTACTGTGAAACCTGAAAACACACCTCTCTCTCCCACAGATGTAAAACCAGTACCACCAGAAACATTTGCATCCAGGGTGACTAAAAGGTCTTTTGAAACTGAAAAAATCAAACAGCCTTATGCAACCACACAGTCTCAGGTGAAAACATCCATAGCTCCAGTACTGAACAGGAACAAGACAGAGTTCCCATTTCTAAAGCCTTATAGAAGAACTTCAAGCCAATATGTTGCTTCTGCCATTGCAAAGTATATTACTTCACCTACATTTAAGGCTGACTCTACACTCAGTCATGACAAAGAAGAAAATAACCATGAAGAGAGAGGAATGAAAATTGAAGCAGAACATTCCCCCCAAAAAAACATTATTGTGGCCAAAAACAGCCCTTTGGAAGAAACACAATCAATAGAAACAAGCAAAGATTATTCAAATATTTTTACTTGCAATCAGAAAGCATCCAACAGGTTTACACTTGGTGATAATTTTGGAGAAGAAAACAAAGCTCGAAATGTCAGGGCACTGAATCAAGCAACTCCTGTTGGCTTCTATAAAAAGAGTGTCAATGTACCACTTACTAAAACCTCAGTGATGAATAACAGTTTTGCACAAGATGATCACAGGCTTAACAGCAAACAAAAGACAAAGCCTGTATTTGATCAGAAATCTGAGCATAGGGACCAAACCAATTCTTCCTCACACCTCAGATCACCTGGTCTCCATGTACCCAGCTTCTCTTCTGGTTCATCTTTGAGTGCCACAAAATGGCAGGTTGTGGACAAGCCTCCTGGAAACTCTTTAAAAGTCTCATCTGAGTTAAACATTGCATCTGCTAACAACAATGGTGATTTAGAAAGAGAAGAGAAACCCAATGGTATATTACTGGGTAATGTCAATGAGTCTGATATCACTGTACAAACCAATATCTTTGGGCCAAAGAAGAAGTTCAAACCAGTTGTTCAGAAACCAGTTCTAAAAGATACATCTCTGCACACTGCACTAATGGAGGCCATTCAGACCGGAGGAGGAAAAGAAAGACTGCAAAAGGTAAAAGGACATTCCAGCTTGGAGAATCCTGTATTTACACTAGTCGACCCCTGGCAGCTTTATAACTGGTGATGGGCTGGACTGCACATTATGTTTTAAAAATGTATGAGGGCAAAATGTGGAACCAGGCCACTGGTTGTCCTGCACATAATGTAGTGTTATGCAACCTTTTAGCTGCTGCAGAGGATAATGAGCATATAGTATAAAGGGAGAAGAAGTATTTGAGATTAGTTAGCCTGAAAACCTAACCTGTGTTTCTGAAGGTTGGATAAAAATAGCATGAAGATGATATATAAATACATGCAAATGACAGATAAGTTGTTTTTGATTATCCAGAGTTATTACTTAGGCACTGAAAGTGAGCTTAGTTCAATGTAGTACACAAAGGACTTGCAACCCTGTGCAAAATACAACTCGGTGAGCTCACTTTTATGAATCTATGGCCACATCTACATGAGACACAGACTGTGCAGTTGTTACTGCACAGTCATTTAGTACTTGCATACCCAAGTACTAAATGACTGTGCAGTATCTGGCATTACTGTGCTGTAGTATCCCTGCACGGCTTCCTGGTGACACTGACTGCGCAGTAGTAACAAGCTACTGCACAGTAGTAATGCGTTCTCATGTCAGCCTGGCGAATACAATTCAGTGTCAGCAAGGATTGCTGCAGCAGCAGGTCCAAAAGGAGACATGGTGCCTACCCATGCAGCTCACCATATAAAAATATGCCCCAAGCACCTTTTAATAATGTTTCCCAAACTGTCTTTAAGTAAATCTCTAGCACCAAATTGATGATGTCTATTGTGATCCTGTTCTAGATTTCAGACAGCATGATGAATGGAAGTCAGCAGAAGCCTTCACATAGTGAGCCAGAAAATGAGCGGTCAGCCCTGTTTGCAGCAATTAGAGGTCACAGTGGCATCTCAGGGCTGAAAAAGGTAAGAAATAAAGAGGACCAGTGCTCTACTCATAGTTGGCTCCCACTGAGAATGTGTTTCCAGCAACCTGGAAAACATCCAGCATAAGTTGTAGTGCAAAGGGAGGGTTTTAGAAAAAAGATGATTACACAGTACAGGATCTTAATGTTTTCTGGGGCAAAGTTATGACCTCATCTGTAGAATTTTATTGACCACTGGAATTGTGCACTTGTGGCTGTAGTCAAACATTTTGGGAAATCATGGCTACGTATGGCACACTACATATTTGCAGACATTAGGTTTCATTAGATTTTAAAAATGACACCTCCTATCTGATCATGAAAGCATTTATACTATTTAATAACCAGGGCCTGAATTGTTCCAGCCCACGCTTCCATCAAACTCACTAACCCACCAAAGAAGTGTATTTGATTAGGAGGTTTCCCTCTCCTTTGCCCAGTCACTTAAGGCATTACCAAGTATCTGTAATAGTAGCAGATCACTGAATACTCACCAGTCAGCATTCCTCATGTTCTTTATATTGCTCTGGTTTTCTCTTCCCTCAAAGCAGCTATGAATGCCACATAGACCTCACAGCTGGTAGGGCAGTTAGCTTCCTTTCAGACTGACACCAGGGGCAGTGAAAAAACAGCCAAGAGTGCAGCCATCCCATTGTAAAGACAGCTTTTGCATAGACAGAAGGCAGTCTAACCTTATAAACTAAATCAGAGAGGTAAAATATAAGCTTTAATACAGGACTTATAAATAGTTATAAACTTTAATATATTGCCCTCTGCTATGAAGTAAGCCCTCTGCTATACCTCTTTGATTTGGTTATTCTATAAGGTGCAAGCCTACCTTGCGTTCTGCCTTGATTTCAGACTAACATGGCTAACTACATCTCTCAGCTACATACACCCTATCAAGCTGCTGGGCATGGGACCCTTGCTAATCAGCGTAATATGTATGTGTTTCCCAGTGGTCAGAGCACAGGAATGGGGTACAGGAGCTCCTGAGTTCTATTCCTTGTTTTAAAACTGCTTCCCTTGAGGGGCTCCAGTTAATTTTGTGCTCTTCTGCCTCTGTTTTGCTGTCGGTGAAGTTGGGATGACAATGATGATGATATTTACTTTCTTTGTCATACATGAGAATGCATTTGTTGATAGATGCCGAATGCTTTGAAGATACATAACACCATGATAAATGCTAAATATATGCTAAATATAGGCTTTCAAGCTAACCTCAATTATTATGAATATACTGTAAAAGACAAAAATATATGTGGAGGGAATTGAAGATAAAGCACAAGCCAGCTTTGCTTAAAAATTCCCTTTCCTCCATTCTTGCTTGCAAGGGAGTGAGCTTCCCCACATATAATTCAGGCAGAAATGTTAGGTTCAGGAATTTCACAGAAAACCTTTCTTGGAAAAAGCAGTCAGGTTGGCTTTTCCCATTTACTTTCAAATAGTTCTTTCCAGTCCCATTTCCTTTTCATTTTGGATGGAGTGTTCAGATTTAATAGCAATTTTAAAATAGAGCCAAATCTGAGAGCCCAGCTCTCTCTCATTCATTATAACCACCATGCAGTACATATTACCAAGAGTAACAAGATTCCTGGGTGGCGACTGCAATTCTCATACATCTTCTTGATTGCAAAATCCTTGTGGTCATTCCCAATTCCAACTCTCAGCCTCTTACCTTACATGCCAAGAAGAGTTACAGGATGCTAGAGTTCACAGTAAATAAAGATTGAGTTTCTGAGACAGAGTCAGTGCCAAATCCTTGATCCTGGTAATCAGCCCACTTGAGTGATGTGAGAGAGTAGTAACAGATGTTTAAACCAATGAGCAAACATAAGTTATACATGTTTTACATCGTTGGAACAAGCTCAAGCCATGAGTAGTGAATTTAAAAAGCATCAAATGTCAAATAATGTGCAGGTCAGTTATGTATGATATCAACAATTCATCTACAACTGTATCATTAACAGATCTCATCAGCAGCCTCTGACGAGCTACGGAGCTTCAAAAATGCAGACGTGGCCTCGCAAAATAAAGAAAACTCCTGGGCAGAGGAGCTTTCTATCCCACCACCCCCACCTCCACCAGTCCACCTGTCTATAACAGCCGCCCCTACATTCTCAACCACTGCTGAAAGTAACCCTGGGGAGGCAAGACAAGCACTAATGGAGGCCATTCGCTCTGGCACTGGAGCAGCAAGGTTAAAAAAGGTAAAGGAGTCATTCTGTATTGCCAGCTGAAATTGCCAGAAATTGCTGTACTGCTCTGTGAATGCAAAGCTTGTAAGCTGTGCTAGCCACATTTTTAATCCCCTTTCTTGTCCAGTTAAAAAGATATATAACATCCTTTAATTGCTGCAGGGAGACTGGGATATATATACACTTATATACATACAAGTATACACATATGCAAACATAGTTTGAGTTTAATTGACCATGTAGCACCTACCCTTTTCATATTATATCATGTAATTGCAGATACACAGAGATGAGTAAGAGGTTAACTTCATCCCGAACTAGATAATTTCAGCCAGGGCTTTGTCAACCTGGGCCTTAAAAACCTCCAAGGATGGAGATTCCACCATCTCTTTAGGTAACTTGTTCCAGTGCTTCACCACCCTCCTAGTGAGAAAAGTTTTTCATAATATCCAACCTTAATCTCCCTTCCTGCAACTTGAGACCATTGCTCCTTGTTCTGTCATCTGTCACAACTGGGAACAAGTCTAACTCCATCCTGTTTGGAGGATGGAACCACCCTTCAGGCAGTTAAAGGCTGCTATCAAAGCCGCTCTCGGTATTCTCTTCTGTGGATTAAAAAAAGAGTTAATTTAACAGCATACATTTTAGAAAAAATTAAGATGACCTTTGCCACTTTTTGGACAAGATCCTTTTAGTCAGATAAATCAGAATCTGGCATGCACATTTTCCCCCTTTTCACTTCTGAAACACCAGTAGCAAAGCAATTTTGGCTGCTGACAGATGTGGCAGGGGGGGAGGGGTGGGGATGGTGCTTTACTTTCAGCTTGCTTGCCCCCACGCTGAGTGGAGCACCTGCCCAGAAGAGGAACCACGTCAGTCTGACCCAGCTCACCCAACCTGTACAGATCGGGTGCTTCAGCAGGGCTTTTTGGCCTTTTATCTAATAGCTGATGGAAAAGCACCAAAAAGCACCACCAAAGCGCATGATTTATACAGACGCTGGGGAGCTGGGTCAAACTGACATGGTTCCTCATCCGGTAGAGCACTGTTTTGTTTTGTTTTGTTTTGTTTTGTTTTTCCACGTCTTTCAGCAGCCTTAGATGTAACTATTTCACTTTAATTCCTAGCATTACTTTGATTTGGGGAGCCAATACTTTCAGTTGAATCATGCATCACTAAGGCTGTTTGGAGGTCAAATTTTGAAGCTGATACCTTTGACAGTGCCTGTTTTAAGGCATATCATGTATACTGGTAGTTTTCTTATCTTTTCGAAATAGGGCCTTCTGAGGAAAACAGGCCTGGGCTCTATGCAGAATCACACACCAGGAAATGTCTAGTCTTGCAAGTTCTGGTGTGAATTGGAGTTAACTCTGCTGAAATCCACAGAATAACAAGAGTACTAGTTTGGTATGAGATCAGACTCGGGCCCTATGGCTTTCAGTCTTCATCCATTTATATGGGTACAACTCCCAGCAAGCCAAATATTATTCTTATTACTTAGATAATAAGAATTATTATTCTGGCGTATTTTTCAGAGTAACTCCTTGTAGCTCTGAGTTAGATCCTCCTTTCACTAGTATGAAGTTACTTCTGATTTAAGTAAGAAACAAATAGAGCCCATTGGCCTCAGTTGAGTTATTCCAGTATTACACAGCAGTAAGCTAGATGGACTTTGGCCCAATGACTTGGGTATTTACCAACACAGATGGAGCTTTCTCACCTTGTGACTTATCTGATGCAAATCATAAGCATATGTATATGGTTTAGCCTTGCCCTTTATAAAACAAACCAAAAGTACTGTACTATCAAATGATACTATGCCTTTAAAACATCTAGTTCTTATAAGGCTTAAATTCTTTAGAATTACACAAACAAATTAGTGTTTTAAGGAGTCTTACTACATCAGCATGCTAAAATAAAATAGATTGTGTGATTATTTTTACATGGGTAGAATTACATGATATGTTGTTTTAGATATGTATAAAACACCTTTGGTAGGAAAACACCTAACAGGCTTCTGTAGAAACAAAAGGGTGGAAAATATAGTATTTTCTGTCTCCATTACACCTTCTTAAAGAAGAGTTTTGTTAGGTGTTCAAGGGTAACTTATGCATGTATTTTTTTCTATATCCATACTTTTCCTGGAGATGTGCTTTTTAAAGCATATTAGGTCTCAGCTCAGCCAGCATTATTGTCAGCCCAAGTTCTTCCAGCAAAGAGTTCCATAGCCATGAACCTGATTCTGATTATTCCAGTAATAAACCTAGATCCCTCCATCGGCATTAGCCCTGAGGACTTTAGCTGTCTTCTTGAAGTTTTGGTGGTCTCTGTGGCCCCAGAGCCATTAAAGTAGCCTGGCCCCAGTCCATTAAAGTTTATAGATCAGGGTCAGGACCTATTCTGTAGTGTGTGGGCAGACAGGCCATGAAGGCAGTTCTAAGCTCTTCATGTGCCCTTTGTCATGTGTTAGACAGTTTGCCAGATGTTACACCTACTTCCACATTATAGTGATTGCATTCTTAGGGTGGACTGTATTGTTGTAATAGTCTTAACACCAGGGAGACCAAGAGTGCTTCACCCACAGCTCTTTTGCAAAATGAAAAGGAACAAATTTTTGCTCCACCCAAGATGGAATAAGCTATTCCTCATTGCTACTGCTGTGGCAGTCTGCATATGCGGGAATAATGGTAAATCCTGCATGGCCTCATGTCTTTTTAGCAGTAGAAGCCCCAGTTACCCTTGACAGTTGGTAGGACTACAATATTTACACATTTTCAGGGGACTTCCATCCAATTCCTATTGATATTAGTTCTGTGTGTTGTGGAATAGACTAAAGCCAAATGCTCTTTTCCATCTGGGGTGTACTTTTCCAGTTGGTCTAATAAAAGGTATCATTTTGGAACCAAGAGTTCTGGTTTTTTGTACTTCTCCATCTGGTGCTCTTTTCCTGACATACGGACACCTTGCTTAGAATGCAGGTGTAGTGAGGGGAAGAGAATGTGATAGCTGCACATTGGTGGTAGATGATTTTGTAGCATCTTATGATTTCTCCAGACAGTAGGTTGTATGAGTTAAAAGGGAGGATAAAGGAGTATGTACCTTTTTTGCAGCTTTGCATGGTGGTGAGGCACAATTACCTGCATATCTGGTCGAGTTCTGCTTAATAGGAATAACTGTACTGTGGCTCAGTACTGCTCCAGTTAATCCAACATTTTCTACACATAGCATTAGCATCATCAGAAAGATGGTGGTGAAGGGCACAGGGAGATTTGTTATTACTCTACCACCAGTGGCTGGACATTCATCAGTAGGACCACTTGTGATTTCTGCTCCGCTGGACCTAGAAGATGAGGCATCTAGTATGTAAGAAGACATGAGTGCTGTTGAAGTTAGGGTTCCCTAACCCTCTAGATATGCCTTCCAGAAAAAGAGGGAGTAGAAAGTCATCAGGAGCTTTAACTGGTTGCTTTGTCTGGATTCCATTTTCTAATGCTGTATTCTTCAGTTTAGTTGGTGGCTTTACTGTGAAGGAGACATTGGTTACCCTGGTTGACATCCTGAGGCCAGAGGTTCTTCCCTAGACTTGCCTGGGTCAAGTGGTGAGGAAGAAGTTAGTTTCCTAACTAGTGGGCTGAACTGTGTCTGAATTTTCTGTTCCTTCTGTTTGGGAAATTGAGTTAAATTCCTTCAAGGCACATGGGATGGGGATGGTTCTTGGGTGACATGCCTACCTCTGCTCTGATTTAGTGAACTTTTTGAAGTCAGATGATGGTTTTTCCCATGTTAGCCCTTTGTGTTTATATTTCTTTGTATCTGTGGTCTCCAATCCACTCTTCTTAGGAAATGCATTGTCTGTGGGACCCTCCAGTGATGCTTGTAGGCATTGGAAATTAACAAATTAAAACAGAAATTGACAGGGAGAGCAAAGTATGATGTTGCCAGCTACGTGTTACTTGCTCGGTATCGTTGCCCTTGAGCCTGTGAAGGCTGGGAATTACTGCCTTTTATCAGTCAAGAGATAGGCACTCTTAGCTGATTAACAGGTTCTCTGCAAAGAATAGTTCTGCTGGCTGAGATTTACCTGAGGCTGTCTTTGTGGAAGAGCTCCAATATGCTTCCTTTACCACTGCAGCCTCAGTCTGCTTCTGGGCCTCTTGTTCGTAAAGACAGGTTGTAGGTGGATTTTGTGCTACTGGGGCTGCAGTGGTCTGCCCACTTGCTTCATTTTGCTTTGTTTATCAGAAAACCAGATGGAACTATGTGAGGACACGGCTTGTTTTGGGGCTGCCTTGCTAATGTTTTTTGTTACTAGAAGGGACATACTGGACCATCAAGTCCAGTCTCCTGTGTTCCCAGGCAGCCATTTACCCAAGAAGACCCCATAATTCCATGTCAAGCCCTTGATTAGCTTTTGATTACACTGTTGTAGTGCAGTGTTGTAAGCAATTTAGATGTTTAAATTCTGTGTCTTTCTGCCGCTCTTCTTGGAGTACTCTAGAATTAAAAGGTCCTGTTGGCAAATAATATGATTAGTAGATCAGGTGGTAAAAGAGGAGATGACTTTCTTGAGATTATAGGGGTGTGTGTTGGGTGGGTATGTGTGTGTGAATATGGTGCGTATGTAAGGAAAGGCAAGCAGGAAAGGAATGCACTCACCTAAATAAGAAGCATTCCAACAACCACTCAAGCACTGATCATAGCTGAGAAGAGGCAGCTGCTTGACCTCAATGCTGGTTACAGATCTGTTTGTTCCAGACTCAGAACCTGGAGAATAAAGATCCATGGTGCAGGAAGGGAAGAGGAAGGCTGCTGCAGGCTAATACCAACTGCCTTAATATTTAAGGGCTGCAGCAAAGAGGCTTTGCTCTCATCACCCAGAGAATGCCAGGCAAAGTAATGTCATTTTAGGGACTTGCGGGAACAGTCAAGCACAAGCAAGACACTATCTGTATATGTTTCCTCCTTGGTTTTGATCCATTTCCCTGAGTTCTGTGATCCTTTTGGCAAAGATCTTTTTTTTTTTTTAATAGTTGCTTTGTCACTGTGCATGGTGAGAGAGGTCATTAGCTATATTAGTCTTAAGTCTGGCGGAAGGCAGGGTAGATTGGTACCTTGTAGAATAAGTCAGAGATGTATGGCATAAGCTTTCATAAGCAGAGGGTTTACTTTATTACGTGCAATGAAAAGACTGCAGGAAGCAGAGTGACATTCACATTTCCAAAGTCAACATGTAGCATACAACCTGTTTGATTAAAACCTGGTTTTAAAGCATATTTAATTTTATAGCTTTTTAATGCAAGATTTGTTTTTTCCCACATAGAATGTTCTGTCTATGTTATAATGCTTCTTCTCATGGCTTTGCACATGTACGCAGGGTGCTGTCAGTTTTTTAGAAATAAATAGGCCATGTTGTTTCTCATTCTGTGCATGTGGCTTCAGTTGACTTCACCTGAGACTTATGTAGGCAGATAGAGGGCACCATATGGATCCTGACTGAATTTTGGTGCTAAATATTTAGTTTCCCTCCTGTCATATACACCAAGGAATCATTCTTTGTAAATGAAATGCAGGCTCTCTTCTGTTTGAAGGAAAAGCTTACCAGTACAGATGACAGACTACAGACAGAAGCACGTGCATTATTTTAACTCTTGGCTTTCAGAAAAAGAAAAAGAAAAAAAAAGTGATCACAGCATAGACAAAAGGAATAAGATAATTCTACTGACATTAGAAATGAAATTAAAAGATATTCCTGCCTATCTAGGGCCAAGTTCTCTATTGCTATTACTGAGCAAAACACTATTTTCACATCAGCATAACTGCATCCATATGACCTCTATTTTTAAAAGTGTGTGTGTGTGTGTGTGTGTGTGTGTGTGTGTGTATTAGGTGTTATATCACAGACAGTAATTTCTGGGTCATATTTCTGAAGGTCGGGGCCTTTTCATTGGCCCTGGTTCAGGAAACATCCCTATTTCAGAAAAGCACTTAAACACGTGTTTAGAGTTAAGCATATGCTTTAGTGTTTTTATGACTAGGGATGAACCATAAGCATATGTTTAAGTGTTTTCCTGTATTTGAGCCTATGGGAGTTCTCCGCATCTAACCAGGGAAGGAAAAAACTCGTTCTTGTGACCTATCACAACTAACCAATACAGCTTATATTTTCACTGCTCAGCATTGAATACACATGATCAGCATTTGTGATCAATCCAATGTTAAATAAATCCATGGAGAAATTCATCAAGTAAATGAAGACGTAGAAATCCACCAAGCTGACGGAGAAATCTTGATCTGACCACACGTAGTCCACATAAAGGAAAAGGCATGAAATTCACACTGTGGATTACTCAATGCAGTCTATTTGCTTGGCTCTAATAAAGAGAGGTGATTTAAAAATAATAATAAAATAGCCCCACAAGAGAATGTTTGGTTAGTAAAGTCAGCAGTTGGAAGTTTAAAAATATCTTGAATGATTATTATTTGCTTTTCTTTGTTATAGGTCCCTCTGCTAGTTTGAATCGTGGATAAAGAACAAGTAATTGGAAAATATAACCCCACATGATCCCATGATCATAATTCAAGGACTGAAGTGGCAAAGAACATCAAGAAGTTCAGTTTATTCCCCTGTCTACAGGCCAAAATAAGTTGCAGTTAATTTTCTGTTTGTTCCTGCATAATAGTTCTAAGGGAAAAAATATGTTGCTTTGCTGCACAGCTACTGTGCCAAGAAACTGCATTTTGCCTCTGAATATTTAAATTTGCCAATAAACCATTCTTGTTGGCAGGTTAATAAGAATATAAACACTGTGTAGTCCTGCTTTAATACTTAATTATGTTTATGGGCTAAATTAAAAGACTTTTTGCTAGCTCTCTGAAATGTAACACTCATTCATTTTGAAGTTGTTTTAAAATATGTAACTGTTTCAAACATTTATTTGCTTCTTGCTCTTTGATTTGGAAGACGGTTATAAGCAGTAAGGGGGACAAAGTAGAATAAAGATCCATAAAAAATAATCACAAGAAAAAAGTTATGGTACATTCTGAAAGGCCTTAATTGCCATATACTGAAGTCACTGTTTTTTTCTAATTAGGTGAACTCTTTTTCTAGAACATTCACTATACACGTAGTCAATACTGAATTTGAGGTGGTGTACTATTGAGAAGTTACTTATGGGATATATGACGTATAGATACTAACTTGCAGAGATATACTGAACCCTAGTAACATTTGTGATGTTCTTCCAACATTGAAAGATTAAATTAAGAATAAAGGGACCTTCATCTACAGCAAGGACTGTGAGGTTTTAAAATGCTGCTTAGAGATTCAAAAAATATGGGAGTCCTTCATGCCCACCCAAATGCAGCAGTGTTCACTCACATCTGTAAGAACAGGACTAAGTCCCCAAGCTGGTATAAATTGAGTATAATCTGGTCCCTCTCATTCTTCATGGCTGTAGCACCCCGCTTCACAGGTATTTATAGTAGTAGATTTTAAAAATATTAACTACTTTCGTAGTTGTCGTTGTATATATTTTTAAAATATTTTGTTAAATTTAAATGATAACTTAAAAAGGACAAATCAAATTGTCTTTTTTCATATTTCCTATATTGTAATGAAACTGAGGAAGTGAAAGTTTGTACATTTAAATTTTTTATAATTACCAGACCGGAATGGAAGTTGCTTGGTTTTTTTTCAGAGCTGGGATTTAAAAACATAGTTGTGTAATGTAATGTTAAAAAGGAGAGAGACTATATAGCCACCTGCACTTAGTTACTGTATATTATATATTGTAAAATACTGATACCTGTTAGTGCCACAAATAAAAAAATGTTACAAGATCTGCAGGAGTCCTGTACCTAACATTTTGCAATTACAGAACATACTAGTTGTAGATAAAAGACAACAGCAGTGTGTTGCGTTGTGTTCCATTTCTTCATATATATTGGATCAAGCTAGAAAAAGGTAGGCCTGTGCAAAGCAGCTAGTATTCGCTTCGGATTCGGCCAGTTCGGGGGACAGTGATTCGATTAGCTGATTTGAATAACTATCCAGAATCGATTCGGCCGAATCTGATTCGGAGATTCGGCCAGGCCCATCCCCGCCATAATGTGGTCTGTGCCCGCCTGGCCTCGAACATCTTGCTCTGTGCCTCTCTGGTTCGGGTGCTCACCGGGATCCGCCCTGCTGTCGCAGGTGGTCTTACGAGGAGGTCTTCACACGCGACGCAGATCACCCCCTTCTTGCCTGCCATGACTTTGAATCTTCTTCAGTGTGGGGAGCTCAGTACTGCGCGATTACCCTCGCTGGCCACTCGTCCCCTTCAGTGGTCTTCCGCGAGGCTCCACCTCCCCTCTACCTCGCCCTTTACCCAGCCTGGCAGGTCACTGTAGATCCTGCGGCCGATCTTGTGCACCCCGAGTGACTTTCAATCTACAAGCGTACAGATCCTTGTTCCACTTTTCTCGCTTCCCTCCGCCTCAACCCCTTCCAGTACGGGGAAACACAAAAGACAAACGCAAGAAAACCACCACCACCACCGTGCCCTCTGTGTGTGCCCAAGATACACCCCACGCTCCTATCTGACTGATAGGCTCCTTTCTTGTACCCCTAGCAACAGTAGGGCAGTAGGCTTGGTCCCTACTGCCCTAGCTATGGTTGTTCTCCCTCTGTGCCTTTCCAATGTCATCGCCCTCTCTCTGGGCCTTTCGGTATTGTTACCCTCTCTCTGGGCCCTCACGATCTTGTTGCCCTCTCTTTGGGCTTTCACAAGCCTGCAGCCCACTCTCTGGGTCTTCACAACCCTGCAGCTCTCTCTCTGGGTCTTCACAACCCTGCAGCCCTCTCTCTGGGTCTTCACAACCCTGCAGCCCTCTCTCTGAACTGTCACGATGTTGCCCCTCCCTCTGGGGCGTCTCTTCAAGTACCCTGGGTCCCTCCACCGTCCCACCTGTTTGGAGGCTGTAAAGAAGGCCAGTGTCTCTCCCTTCTCCGCGGAGGCTACTGGTCCCGGGGTTTCTCCTGCTTCTCTCTTCATTTCCTGCCTTTCCCCGCACTGGATCACCTGCTCCTAGTGCAGGTTTGTCTTTGCCGCTGCCGACAGCTTTTCCCTCGCTGCATGAGGCATCGGATCCGCCTCTCGCTCTGCACAGCTGACTCCTCCGGCCGGGACTCCTCCCAGCGTCCGACCCCCTGCCTCTCTGTGGGCCGTCCTTTTTGTCTGTGCCGGCCGGTGATTGCTGCTGACGTCACCAGCCAGCCGCAGCTGAATGAAAGCGCGGCTAATGGCCCGTGCAGGCTTTTCCCAACGTTCCTGTTTTGGCTCAGGTCCTGCTTCTGGTCTTGCTGCAAGTAAGTGTTCTTTTTTTACTTTTGCTTTTCCTGTTCCTCACCTGTTTTCTGGCCCTGAGGTTCCTCCCTTGGGCTTTGGGGTCTCCCCCATTTGTCTCTACCTGTGACAAGGTCATTTCCTCATTATGGAATCAGGCATAGTAAGAAATCAGGCATAGGTTGTGTACACACTTTCAGCTCACCTTAGAGAATTCTCCCAGGTTTGTCTCCTGGTAGAAAAACTTACCCGGAGATGCTGAACAGACATTTGAATGCAAAGCCCTTGATGAGCAAAGAGCCTGCAGTGCTGACATTGCACAGCAGGGGGTTCATGTGGACACACCTCAAAGTGCACTGCAGATTCCCCTTGTCATCTTGGAGATAGATGGTAGCAGTACAGGGCAGCCCTGATTGGCTGACCCAGATTGCTCAGGGTCAGCACAATGTGGGATTGTGAAGGGCTCATGGTCTTTCTGTTTGCCTGATGCACCAGAGTGACACACAGTCTTCCAGGGGGAGAGTAGGTGCAAAGCACCCTGGGATGCTGGAGGACTATGCTGTGACTTCTCTCAGAAAAGAATGTGTACAGACATTTGCTCTGCCAGGAGAAACTCTCCTGGAACTGATTTATTCCTGGTTGTTCCTGGGTTATTTTTCTCCTGGAGCAGCCATTTTTGCCCAGGGAAAACAATCCTGAAAATCCGTATACTCACGGTGTCTCCTGGAAGAGCATCAACTCTTCCATGAGAAACTAAATGACAGTATGTGGCCATAGTAACATGACACCATGCTGTTCCTCAACTAGCAAGTCTCAGTTGAGATCCCCCTTTTGGGTAAATGGGTTGGCCTTGTTACATGTTAGCCTTTTGGGCTTTAAAATCTTCTCGAATTGTTCTACAGCAGTAATTGCAAAACATTACAGGTGCCCTCAGAGAAAAAAAATTTGCTCACTCAGGATCTAATGTGACTAGCTGTTACTCACAGACATACCAGTAGTACCAGTGGGTGTGTCTACACATGCATTTAGTCATCACTAGGTTTACTGCACATTAAGCTGACATGAAGTAAGAAAATTTGGGTAGGTGTCTACATATGCAGGGACCTGGCCTTCCAGCCCCACCACCTCTGGGCCTGCTGCACCAGCCAAGACTGGTAGCAGTGCCTGGACAATGAGCAGTGGGTCAGTGCCTTTCGCATGACCCAGGCCACTTTCACTTACCTGTTCTTCCAGCTCTGGCCCCACTTAGAGCGCCAGGACATTGGCATGTGCCTGGCCCTCCCCGCCGACACCCGTCTGGCTCTGGTACTGCTCAAGCTGGCCACTCCCACCAGCCTGCGGTATTTAGGGCACTTGTTTGGAGTGGGCAAAGCTACCACTGGGGACGCCGTCCTGGAGGTGTGTATTACCTTCCAGGACATGCTGGCGGACACCCCAGGTGGTGGTTGCAGGGTTCCATGCACTGGGATTCCCCCAGTGTATCAGGGCCCTGGACAGAGACACACATCCCAGTGACCTGCCCACCCCACGGAGACCACCCCTATTATAGCGGGGCTCCACTTGGTGGTCCTACAGGCACTTGTCAATCACCAGGGGACCTTCACCCCTGTGAGTGCTGACTGGGTGGGTAGCACACATGATGCACACATGTTCAGGAACTCTGGACTGGGTGCATTGGTGGAGAGCAAGCACTGGGGATCTAGACATGCCTCACAGGGACACTGGGGCTGCATTGGGGCAGCCAGAGGGGGAACCACTTGCTCTCAGTGAGCACCATCCCAGGTAGCACACTGCAGCACAAGCCCACCACCTGCTGGGGTTGCCATGGCCCCCAGATCCACAGGGGAATGAACCAAGACTGGGGTGCTGGGCACCTGCCCCCAGACTTTGCCCCCTAGGCCCTCCTCCCACAGCTCCCCATTGTAAATAGTATTGATGTTGTAAGCGGTTTTTTTATTGGTGGGTGGGGAAAGAGGGAGAGAGGTCTCTTTGTTGGGGAGGGGGCTCTGTTAAGCGGGGATGGGGAAGTGATGGGGTGGGTGTTAAGGAAATAAAGCTTTTTGTTTCAACCATGTGCCTAGCCTGCGAGTGGTACTGTGGGTAGGCATGGGTGGGGAGGTGTGGGCAGCAGGGCAAGTAGACTGAAGCGGGGAGTGCAGGAGGGGATCAGCCTTCTGCACCCAGTGCCCTGGTCCCTACTGACAGGTGCGCAGCTCTCCTGGGGCCTGGACAGTGGGGCCAGCAGGGGCAGCACCATGGCCAGCAGGAACACAGGGCATTGGTCGATGCTGCCAGGGATAAGGCTGGAGCAGCAGGGTGCTGTGCATTGCTGCAAGGGCCAGGAGCAGGGGCTGGAGCAGCCATCGCAAAGGGAGACAGAGTGGGCAAGGAGGGAGCTGCTGTGTGCTGCCCCTGTGCTGGGCACACAGCTCCTGGGCAGGGAAGGGGCATATTGCAAGTGCTGGCAGCTGGCTCTGGCTTCAATGTGGCTGCCAAGTGCTGGCAGCCATGTGACTGTAGGCTAGAGCTCTCCCTGGTGGCCACAGGGGCACATGGCAGGGCTGGGGGGACTAGGCACACTGGAGGGTCTTTGCACGTGTAGACACCTGCCAAAAATTGCTTACTGCACATTAGCTGAATCAGCAGATAATTTAATCACAACTAATTACATGTGTAGACCAATCCTCTGTCTCTTTTACTCTAAATTTCAAACCATAAAAACTTTCTTACTCAAATGTAGGCCCAACATAAGATTAAAATAAAAAAGAAAAGAAAATTTATCTTTGGAACAACTGCTGGGGAACAAAATGTCATGGGTAAAGCAATTATAAGAATATGAACTTTGGTTGTGTGAAGTGTTGTGTTTGCTACAACACTGGGAAGATAAAAAAAAATCCACCTATATGGTCATAGGTGAAGTTAGAGCTGGATTTATATCAACAGTGTGTTCAACTTCTTATACCACTGTTGTTGAAAATGTATGTACACACGCATTCTGTTCTTCTCTTCACCACCACATGCCTGTCACAGTAAGTGCCAAGTTCTGGTAGATGTATAGAATGGGCCTAAGTGGACCCAGCAAACGAGAATGTTAATTTGTACCCTTATTTATACCAAAAATTAGCTAAATGCTACCACCCTTAAGCAATCCTTTTCTCTTTGGCATATTATGCACAGAGAAACCATGCCTACAGACCATGCCCAGGTCAGGAAGCATGCATTCATAGAGCCCATGGAAGTTGTCCACTTACCAGTAAACTCAAGTCATGTCAAAGTTCCTGAAGTACACTGAGCTAGAGTGGTTAAAGCACAGCAGTTTCTGTATCCAACGACGCACAAAGGAGTGGCATATGTAGTATCATGTCCAGTTGCCTTTGATTTCTTAGCCGGAATGACCAGGAGCTCATTGACAGTCTTTAGCAAAAGTCCAGAGCAGAGCTTTGTTCATGCTTCCAGAAGCATAGTGAGACACTTTAACCCCTCTGCCACCATGCCCCTTATCTGTAGATTAAA